ACACACACACACACACACACACACACACACTCCACCACATACGTCATGTATTCCGCATCCGCGAGTGCATACGCGCGTGCACCTGTGCACGTTAAGCGCGACCCGGCACACACGAGCGCGTCTACGTATTGCCCAATGAATAGCCACGCGCGTAAGCGAAAAGAAAGCCGCGCGCCCGGTTACGCAACCGCATCGCTCGGCTCTTTCTATACGCACGCCGCGCAATCCGCATCGAGATTTACAGAACCGTTTCTTGCCATTTCTCCTCCGCGCGAGGACAACGCGGCAATTTCGCTGATTCCGCGCGCTCGCGCGCACGGCAAACCGAGATGACGTTTATAGAATTTTCAGCGTTAAGAAAATTTTGCTGTAAGAAAATTTTGAAGAGGCAACTTTGCCTGACAACTTTCTTAAAGCGAACTTTCGGAAAGCGAACAATCGGTAGGTTTTTAATTTAATTACACTTTCATTTTCTTAGTGAAATTTTAAAAAAATGCTTCTCTTCATTTTCAATGCGAAATTAGGAACGTCGAAACACTCAAAGTGGGAGAAATTCACATGGTCGAATTTTCGATTTAATCATATGTGTGTTACACGCCTTCTAATTCGTAAATAATGCAATAATTCCACCCATATGAGCACATTGCAATTAATATCACGAGGTAATTTTACACGTTTGTTGAAGTAGCTTGGAAATACTGATATAGCGCGAAATCTTTGTCGATCGTTATCGTACGCAAGACTGCACAAGATATCGTGTTGTTCTATGTCGTAATTTCACCATAATTTCTTTACCGCATCATTGTCACATGTACTTTTATTTGCAGCGACGGAGGTGCGGGTGCCGCCGGTCTCGCGAACGTTACGATGATGCAGAGCAACAACGCTGACAGCAACATAGACATGACGACGATGACATCGAGCACTGTCTTGTCGACGCCGGGGTTGAACAACCCCACCTGGAATCGTCAGCAAGCGGTCAGCGTTAGGCATGCCTTCAAGACCTATGGCAGCAGCAAAAATCCGAATCACGTTATACAGAACCTCAGCATGACGGTGGCAAAGGGCTCGATGTAAGTGCAATAATTATTTAATTTTTATATAAAAATCGAACGAAATAATTTTTACATTTTTATAATTTTTGAATGACATATTCCCATAGTTTTTGAATATATTTCACACATAAGCAGGAATGACTTACGAATGGAATGATGACAATGATCTTAATGTGGCTTCACTTTACTTTCATATTGCATGCATATTTAACATTACACGCTAAATTTATTGCAATAGAGATTGCCTAACTTCCTGATTTTGATATCTCTCTTCGCGTAATAGTAATCGAAATCATGAAAAATCGAGCACATTTATGCCTTTCTGCCTAATGTGCTACTTCGGGAAAGCGACGTAAGAAACTCGTTTTCTATCTTAACAAGCAATTTATCGTAACGATGATTAATCCTTATGGCGCTGCACATAGTTAATTAACGCTTTCATCTGCGGTAAACGTAGCCCAAATCGTGAGATCGCGACTTATGATAAGAATGTATGATGTCGTGATAGTTATTTCATAATGCGAAACAACAATGCGTTTTACGTGGACGTCTACCAAGAAACTAAAATGCATAAAATGGTAATTTCCTTTATAATCATTATAGTATGCATTTCGTAATCGCTATATGATCGGGATCGTGATTATGTGCTTTTCGTGTTAACATCGCAAAGTTGAAATAATAGTTCAGTGCAAATTATGCGCCTTGAGCTGTACAATCATTTTCTTTAATTTTTTAGTCTACATTATGCCAGACATTAGAATTATTTATGTATTACGCGAATAATGCATTTATCAGAACTAAGAACATAATAATAATATATTTAAAAAAAAGCAACTGAATATTATTATAAGTTGTTTATCCAACGACTTAATACTTAATAAAAATGTGTCAAAAGAAGATAATCATGTCATTCCAGATAGTATCTGTAGAAACTGTTTTCTATTGTTCTTCAAATTTTATTATTATTTCCTTTGATTCTATTCTCCAACTTGAAAATATCTTTATTTGCAAATAATATATAAAAAAATATTTATTATTTGCAACAAGAAGAAAATATCTAATTTAAATTTTTATAAAAAATATATCATCTAGTTTTTATAAAAAAGAGTTTCACATTTAAATGTCAACTAAATAAAATTACTGATTTAAAATTCTTACATGATAAATAGAGAGGAAAAGATAAAATAGAGAGAGATAGAGAAATAGAAATTATTCAAATTATAGAATTATTATAGAATTATTATTATTAAAGAAATTTGTTGAAATAATAAATGTTTTTTTATATATTATTTGCAAATAAAGATATTCTGCATTTACAATGCAAAAGTGGAATTTATAAAAGATTACGTAACGCGAGTACTTTTCTTATATAAAGAATATTTTTCTTATACATTCTTACATTTCGATTTTATTAATTTTTTTTCTTATTTTGAATATAATTTATGATAAAAAGTGACACGAATATTGTCACTTAATAATATTTATATAAGACTTTAGTCTAATTTATACGATAATTGATATTTAATAACCACTTTAAATCGATTATTAATTGCATATTTCCATCTAATATGTTAATATCAAAAGAGCTGTGTTGTTTTGATTATTTCAGAAACTCACTCCTTCTCATAATAAAATTATATTATATATTTTGATTAATTATTACATTCAAATCCAATCTATATTTATTAAAATTTCCAAATGATGAAAACTGCTAAAATATGCTATCGATATTTGCATTGAAAATAATTTTTTATTTTTTTAGGGAATTTTATTCTATTTTATTTATTATACTAATAATATAATAAATAGAAACGCAAATATCTGTTTTATTTTTGCTTAAGTAATTAAACTTGTGAACAAAAGATCTTATACTTAAAAAAGAATTTTGTTGAAAATAGAAAAACGATGACATAGAAATGTATTGTACATAAGAGAGATATAATGAATAATCGATAGTAATTTTATTATGATTCACTTTGATGAATCACGAAGGCAACGTCCCTGTCCCATGTTTCCGATCTTTATTTGCTTACGGATTACGTCACGCATATGTTCGCATTCGGCCTTCAACCCCATTGTAATTCAAATTCGATTTTCTTGTGCTTGTCTCAAGAAATTCTTGACAAGAGACGCATGACAAGAGACATGCTTCAAGACTGGACAAGCCACGTCGTTTTGTTTTGTTTGACAAAAGAGCCTCCAGTGAGTGCTTATCAGTACAAATAATCGTCTAACTTCCGGTGAAATGCTGATATTATTATGAATAATCCCTGAGAATTTTGTATTTACCTTCAAATGAAATCTTTCAAGTACACAAGTACTACGCTTTCGTTAACATTCTAATGAAAATTATAAATAAAATTATAAATGTAAATTACGCTTGTAAAGCGATTGATTTGTTTATTCATATCCAAGAGACAACCTTGAAGACTAAAGCTTGTGATACAAATCAATGTTTTTTAATAGTCACTCAACTTGTTTTCTCTAGAGAAACTAAGCAGATTCTTTTAAGCAAAATATCTCTAAAAATATTTCTATTAATTTATTATTATTCATCGACGTTCGTTAAAGTTGAATTAATGCACATTGTCCTTGAAGCGAATTGTTATTAATTCATGTTGTCCGTGTTTAATTTTGCTCGATTTGAATCCGCTTAATAATGGAGATAATAATGGAGATTGGTTAATTGCGATATAAATTATGACAAATTGTTTGCAATGTTTAGATACGGGCTACTGGGTGCCAGCGGATGCGGCAAGACCACTCTGTTATCTTGCATTGTCGGCCGCAGGAGATTAAATTCAGGCGAGATCTGGGTGCTGGGCGGCAAGCCTGGGACGAAGGGTTCCGGAGTGCCTGGGAAAAGGGTCGGTTATATGCCGCAAGAAATCGCCCTCTACGGCGAGTTCACCATCCGCGAGACCATGATGTACTTCGGCTGGATATTTGGAATGTGCACGGCTGAGATCGTCGAGAGGCTGCGCTTCTTGCTGCAATTTCTCGATCTGCCTTCTCAGAATCGTTTGGTGAAGAATCTCAGGTATGGATTTCACACCCGTGACCGGGCATGCGGAACGAGTCCCAGTTAATCCCCGATTGTCACGTGCAAAAACAGTAACGAGATCTCGAATCGGTTTCGTAAAAAGATTTGTCAGCCATTGCGAGTTGTTTGTATTCCTCAAAAAAGAACTTTGTATATTCTATTCAGAGAAAGAACTTCATATTCTATTTTACGGTTGTCGATTTGCATTCTGGGACTTAGTTACGCGATTCCAGTTTTCAAAATGACGTTTGAAAAAGTGTATTTACATATTTATATCTATTAACTTTACAGGTTTGACAAGTTTACAAACCATAGAGTATTATAAAAATATAATTTTATTTTGCCTTAAGAAACATGAAATAATAAAATTTCTATTATTAATATTAATAAATAAATAAATATATATATATATATATATATATTATATTATAATATATTAATATATTATTATATTATAATATATTAATATATTATTATATTATAATATATTAATATATTAATAATTAAATAATTAAATATATAATTAATATATTATAATTAATAAACTAATATCGAGTGATTTTTTTATTAGTGGCGGTCAACAAAGACGAGTCTCCTTCGCCGTTGCTCTCATGCACGACCCGGAATTGTTGATTCTGGACGAACCGACCGTAGGTGTGGATCCGCTCCTAAGACAAAGGTAATTTTTTTTCTCATACATTTCAGATAAACTCTAGTCACGAGAGATAACTAAGTTCATATAGCTGCTATTACACCGTGAGTCTGTAGTGTTAATAGCTCAGAAATACAATAGCTAACTTTTATATGTACAAGATCATCCTTACACTTCTCGAATAATTAAATATGATAAACCGTGACCCATGACTAACTGAATCTTCTATTCACTTTTCTAGCTATTAAATACACGTGCCACTAACAGTATAAATAGTCACAATAGACAGTCATAATAACATGCGTAAAATAATTCAATATAGCCGGAAGCTTAAAATTACTCAGAAATGTTTCGATAAGTATAAATTGTTAGTGTGTTTCAGAGTTACAATAAGTTTGATGAATGAACAATGTGCCTATTATAATGATAAATTAAAACTATTTTCTAAATACTGTCCTACGAATTAATGATATTATATCATATATCATATTTTTTCAATGAATTTTTTTAACCATTATTTAAAAATTACTATAAAATATTTATTTTAAATATGGAGATTCTCTTAAAAATTTTCTGAATTTCTTTTATTATTCCATAATTATTTTCAATTTGAACAAAAACAAAGTAAAGAAGGAAAGAGCGAGGATGACAAGAATCCTTGTTCGCACTTTCGCTGTAAATCTAAATATCAAGTTTAAGTCGCGCATATCAGCGACTCGTGACTAATGCACTGAATCCGTAAGTCACGCTTTAAGTTTGACTTTAAGTGAAAGTATTGCCTGAACGAGTCTGGAAAGCGAAGACATAAAGTAAAAAAAAATTAAACTTGTCAAAGCGCGTCTTTAATATTTTCTCACATGATCTTTTTCTACTTTTATCTCCATCAAGTTATCCGAGAATTGTATAAAAAACAAAATTTAACAGAATTTAACAGAAATTAATAGAAAATTGTAGAAATAGACATGATGAAATAGGTCACATAATACGAATTTAATAATATTTCTCATATTGACAAATTCAAAATTTCGCTAATGCTTCAATTTTAGGTAGGGAAAAATAATTTCTCAAAGTATTGAAATTTCAATTTTTAGACATTGAACTTTGATTTTGAAATAGTATTGATCTGTGTGTTGAGTCTTCCTATAATAGCTATAACGGTCATGGTCGGTATAATTACCGTTTCTTGACATTTCTTGAAATTACGATGAATTTATCATATGGTTTTAAATACACGTACATTTACATAAAAATGAGGAGCCTCGAGCAATAACATGTAGCAAACCGTAGCTATACAAGACTTTTAACTTATAAATATTTAAATAATATCAGGCGTAGGTAAAGCGCAAGCGTAACAAACAAAGTACAGCCTAAAAAATAAACAAGCGATAAAAACTATTTTCAAGAAGAAATATAAATTGCGTACCAAAACTTTATTCGTATTTAATTTGCAAAGATACGATAAATTATTGTAATAGAAACAAGATTTGTTTATGCGGGAGAAAAATTATCGCTTTCATTCGCGAACAAATGAAATGGATAATTAACCGAAATGCTTTCCACAATAACATCCTGCTTTTACAACAGGAAAGCAATTACTGTAATTACCACGTTGTCATCTTTTACGTTTCGCTTCCGCTAATGCGATGTTGCCTCTGGCAAACAGAACAGAAATTTCCCAAGTATTCCTGCGCGTGACCATATTTATATATGAAATAGAATAAAACAGAAATAAAACTCGTGTAAACATTTTAAAGTGGGACCGCCGTGCGTCGATTAAGTATTTGTAAGTGTAATTTTATTGGTACATAACACAAATTGCCTTCCTTTCCGTAGATTTTATTCGAAACAAATAAATTTCACTTGTGGAAGAGATAAAAAAATAACATCACTTGAACGCCATTAAAGCAAAAGCTTTAAGCGCTTTACCTTATTATCTGAGAAAGTTTACAGCTTTATTACGATCGTTTGCATCTCGGCTCAATTTTCTCACTTCTCGGTCGCGCACAATTGTCTCGTGAAACGTTCATGGACCCGATCACTTTCCACGAGGATATTGCTAGGAAAGTCATGACTCACTTTCAATTTGATCGTATTTCGGGATATTCCGCTTCAAAATCATATCGCAATTTTTGTTCATCGATCGTCAATTATCACGCCTCGATGGATTGATGATCGAGATAACGAATTTCTTCTGATTACTCGTTAGCTTATATTAACTACATTAGTCTAACTGACTTTTTTACGATTCATTAATTTACTTATTAATTTACGGTTTTTGAAATTATCTTTAGATAAATGCTAATTTTGATATACTAATATGTGTAACAACATTATTAGACTCTAGATAAATTCTTTAGGTAAATGAAGTCGTTTTTTCAATTATCATTGTTAAAAATCTGTAGCTGTAAGTTTTTCTTCAATTATATAGTAGCTTCAATTAATAGTAGCTCTTTGATAAACATTTATGTTTCTGAAAGAAGAAAATTATTTTTTTAAGATGTCGCGATGATATCTAATAATATACGTAGTAATTCAAGCATCTTGTCTACATCGAGCATGGCTACTTTCAACTTTTACTCTGTTACGGTCTAGTTTTATAAATTGACGACTGATCTCAAATATTGTGCATCTAACATAGCGGTTAGCTCGAAAAATTAGCCCGTTCGCGAAATGTGAATCCTCGCTTTCCAACACATTCCCATCTTGCAAGTGCGCATCTTTACGTTTCGCATGATAATACATCCTTCGCTCATTGAATATGGAAATGTCAGTCATATCGTTTTTAGTCCGATGTTATAAGATTCAAGGTGTCAGAAACGCCAAGAAGTCGCATAAGAATCTCAGCGCGAAGTACCGCATTAATAATACATACACATATTACATGTGCGCATATACGCACATGTAATATGTACACACATGCCATTGCGAATGACGACTGTATGAATGTCTCAATATTAGAGTATAGAATAGAATAATCAATAACGGCTGATAGAAATTTGTCGTGGCCAAAAGAATTAGTTACTGGTGACTCTGTAAAAAGACTTGCGTATTTTTTGCATATTTTATTATATTACAACTTTTATTATATTACATATTATATTACAATATTTCGCATTTAATCTACATCTCTCTTTATCTCTCTCTCTCTCTCTCTCTCTCTCTCTCTCTCTCTCTCTCTCTCTCTCTTTCTTTTTACGTAATAAAAAATTTATGTAATTATTCATACATTTGTTGTCCTTATTATATATTTAAAAAGGGATGTATTTTTTGCAAAGCTGGTTTATTTGATTGTTGACGCGCATACGTAATTAAAATATTCTCTTTTTTTTCATTTTCTAGTATATGGAATCATCTGGTTCAAATTACCAAAGATGGTAACAAGACAGTCATTATTACGACTCACTACATCGAAGAAGCCCGACAAGCGCACACGGTAATACCATTGCTTAATTAGACGATTTTATAATATTAAACTCGCTTGACTTTAATCTTGAGACTACTTAACTACTTTTTTTTGCTAAAACATTGAAAATAGGAATGATAATTATTAACAATGAATTATGACTAAAATTAGTTATATTAGTGAAAGTATCCAAATTTATATATTCGAAAGGACAAGTACAATAAATCAATATGAAAAGGAAAATCCTCGGTATCAATCGCATTAATAATAAATCCCGTGGTTGATATTTGTTGACCGATTGCATATTATTATCATGCCATTAGCTAATTATTCCACTTGCATATTACGCCAGACGCAAATTATAGTGGAAGGAAACCTATCTCGATTTTTTGCCGGCAATCGTATCTCAATAAATAATATCAGAATGCGTCGCGTTTTCATCATCGATCTTATTAAAGAAGATTTATTTATTATTTCCTTCCGGTAAAAACTCTTCATTAAATCGAGATTCTAAAAAACCTGTGAAATTAATTCGAGTATTAAAATCAGACAAATTTGGAAAGATATTTAAGCATTTCTTGCAATATAGATTTATAATATTATAATATGTTTCGAATATTAAATTACAAATTTGTGATTTTCATAGGCCGATTTATTTATATACCCAAACAACGGAAATAACAAGAGCAATAATAGGCAAAAAATGATTTTATTAACAGATCGGTTTGATGAGAAGCGGCCGATTATTGGCCGAAGAGGCACCCAGAACCCTCTTGCAAATGTACAACTGCGCCTCCCTCGAAGAGGTCTTCCTGAAGCTGTCCAGAAAACAAGGACAGTATGCTCAATCTACGACAGAATTGAATATTTCGAACAACATCAGCTTGGTGAGCAAAAAAAACTATTTTTCCGATGTTGACATTTACTCATGCATTATTTCGCAATTTAAACTCAATGAGTTCAACATGTTGCACAATGTAAGAAGCAATTCAATTTGAATGCACAAGCAATTCGATTGTCGTCTGCAATGTATACAATATTCGTATTTATTTAAACATTTCGCAATCATTGATGTTAGTTATCACTCTTTCAAGTTTAATATAATTAATTATTTCAATTTACTAGCTTAATATCTGTTTCTTATTTTTTTTTACATTTACTTTACTATTTTATTATGCTAGTTTACATAATCAATAATCAGTAATAATATATAATATACAACACTCGTATGAAATACACTACTTGTATTATTTTATCGAATATTTTTTGCTTCTCTCTCGTCTAATTAACTTCATGTGATCAACATGTGTTCAAGATGTACCCGCATGGATACATAATAATGTATCCGTATGAAAAAAAAAAAAAACTATTTACTCCGTAGCTAATCTTGTATTATCTTATTTGCATCAATTAAATATCACCAACACATTTTATTGCCACCGGCCACGCTTCTTTTTCTTTGCGCACAGGCTTCTTTAAACTGGGGGAAAAAAGACGAGCCGGTATACGTGACGGAAGAATCCGGCGTTGTCGGTCTCAACTTCCACCAAAGCAAAGAGGTGCTGATCTACGATTCCACCAACGGAATAGCGAATCATTATGATGTAAGAGATTACTCGAGTGTTCATCTCACTGCAGATTAATTTCACTTATAGTCGGCAATGCAAACAGTCTGCTTCTCTTTTCGTTTTATCTCAAGCATGCATGTATTTATGTCGTTGAAGTCTTTCAAATATATCTCAATATCTATATAATATGCACATTAAATATACATATTAGATTTAAATGTATAAATAAATTATTTTTCTTTTTTATTATGTTCGATATTAGCTATATTAATGGTTTTGAATAGAGATGCAGCATAGGATCTGAAATTCGCTTCTTGATTAAGAATTTAATTAAGAAAATTATGCAATTTTAACTAATTATATGTTACATTTGATTAAAGCGATGGTTTTTTTTTGTAAAATAGATAAATGGCAAACCACTGCCGAGTGCGAAAACCGAATCGGTTCTGGAATGCGACGATTGCGGCGACTTCACGGACTGCTATAAGGTCACCAGTTGGGGCAAAGTCAAAGCGCTTCTGCAAAAAAACTTCTTGCGCATGTGGAGAAACATCGGGTATGTTTTTAACAGAACGGCCATTTGCACAATAACGAATTAAAATTGATGATTTCGCCTTACAGCATTCCTATTCAAAAATATGTCATACACAAATTAAGAATGAAATAATTATGAATAAATTGAAATTTCATCAAGTTGCTAAAAAGTTTTTCGAATTTACTGTTTAAAAAGATTAGACGTTAATATGTTGTATAATCGTTTTATCTTCCTTCAGCGTGATGCTGTTCATCTTTGCCTTGCCGGTGATGCAAGTAATCCTCTTCTGTCTGGCTATCGGAAGAGATCCCACGGGACTAAAACTGGCCATAGTGAATCACGAGATGTTTTACGAGAACATGACGTGCCCCGTTTCGACGGACTGCCATTTCACGTTTCTCAGTTGTCGATATCTCAACTTCCTGGATAATGAAACAATGATAAAGGTCTTAATTATTATTAAAACTAATTTTATTATATAAAACTTTATAATAAAGATCCTTAATATGATATAACGCAACACAACGCAATGTAATACATTGTAGATGTGAACGAGATGATCAATACAAATTCTAACTGATTGACTCAAGTAGAAATCAGTTTGCAGCAATAAATAATTTTCATACCATTTCATTCTGCTTTATTTTTTGTTGTAGATATATTATCCAGATCCGGAATCGGCGATGGAAGCCGTTCGCAAAGGAGACGCTTGGGGTACTTTGTACTTTACGGAAAACTTCACGGACGCTCTCGTGGCGAGGATGGCCTTAGGAAGAGATTCCGATGATGAAACTCTCGATCAAAGCGAAATTCGAGTCTGGCTAGATATGTCTAGTAAATATCTATCTTAGCTATACAAGCAATTAATAATTTATACATAACAAAAACATCAAATTAATCATTCTCTTTTATTTTAAATATTGTAATTTATTCTCAAGTTTTTTATCCTCAGCATTTATTATTTCTTAATTATTTCAATAGAATTTATTTATGAGCTGCATATCGATAAACTATCTATTATTTTTACTTTGGAGATCCGCATTACTTAATTTGTATTGCGCTTTTTATTTCATTGATGACGCATTAAGTCTGATAGTCGCTTCATTTCTTTTCAGCACGTGTAGTTTCATTAATTTGTTATTCATCGATATGTTATTTGCATCGCTTCCATATAAATGTGCTAATAAATGTGACGTTTTGACTGTTTGTTTTAAATACACGCTTTGTTTTTGCAATTTCAGATCAACAAATAGGCCTGATGCTAGCGAGAAATCTTCAATATTCATATAGAGATTTTGCCAAGGATCTTTTATCAGCCTGCAATCAAAATACAAAACTAGCCGACGTGCCGATTCAATTTAAGAATCCAATTTATGGCACTAACGAACCCAGCTTTACAGATTTCGTGGCACCAGGTGTAATATTGACGTAAGTTTGTTAATATTTAATTCGCTTGTTCTCTTAAGTGTATTCACGAATTAATCAGTATTTAATTAATTACGATTTTTTTATGTAGTTAATTCTCTATCTATTTAGTCAATTCTCGGAAAACAGGTTTTACGTTTTTAATAAGACAGTCATCTCATAAAGATTTGATAGATTTTCTCTTTCGCGTATAAAAAAAGATGTCATTTTTCAAAGCTAGTCTTTTTTGTTTAACAGCATTGTTTTCTTCCTGGCGGTTGCGTTAACATCATCGGCATTGATTATTGAAAGGATGGAAGGCCTTCTGGACCGAAGTTGGGTGGCTGGCGTATCACCCGGTGAAATTCTGTTCTCCCATGTAGTCACGCAATTTGTGGTGATGTGCGGTCAAACAGCTCTGGTGTTGATCTTTATGATCTTGGTGTTCGGCGTTGAATGCAAAGGCGACATTATCTCGGTAATCATATTGACGATCCTTCAAGGACTCTGCGGCATGTGTTTCGGTAAGACAAAATATAGATTCTCATTCACGATTAAAATAATAGAACAATTCGACAAACATTTATATAGATTTGTTTCGTGATTTTACTTTTATTATGTTTTGTTTAATAAACGAAATGAAAAAATTGGAATTCTAAAAATCATGGACTTTGACCTACTCACAAATTTACTAACTGCAACTATTCCGTTCAAAATTCATTTATTCTTCTCGCAAAATAATTTATAATTTATAAACAAAATAATTTTTTCGTAATAGAGCGTATAAAATAAATATACGATAAACGCAAATAAAATGCATATGCATTTTTTTAATCTTTCGGGCAAATTCCGACAATTACACATTACAAGACAAAAAGAAAGATGCGTTACAATTTGGATAATCTTTTTGCAGGGTTCGTAATTTCGGCGATTTGCGAACTCGAAAGAAATGCCATCCAGCTGGCTCTAGGCAGTTTTTATCCTACGCTTCTTCTCAGCGGTACGTATGAAATCATAGAATCATTCATCAGAAAGATAAAATATGTGTAATATTCGGAATTTTTTTAAAAAATTATGATTTCTGCGTGTTTATAACGCAATAATTATAAATTGCGACTATGCGTAAATTTTGCATACGAGTATTGAAATAAATCTTTCTGTTTACCATTTCATTTACCAGTTCGTTTTATCGATAAGAAGAAACTGATAATTTACGCTTGATATCGTCTTTCTAAAATAAATATTGCAGTCGCATATTACAATCTGATGAATTTAATCAAGTCCGCTAGGCGATCTAAATGTCACGCGTTGAAATCTTTACCGTACCGTAGAAGTGAAAGTTAGCCAATACTCATGCATACCGTGACCTAATCGTCTTGCTACATAAATACTCATCAGATTGCTCTTTTCTCGTTTAAAGCATAAATTTCAAATTCTAATATTTAAATATCCGCAAAACAGACTTTTCAGAGATAGGAAAATAAAACTGGAGATTTGCTGCTGATAATGAGCGCGTAAGGTTAAATTGATAAAAAATAAATATACGAGTAAAATGAAGAAGGGAAAATACTGGTTGGAGAATCGGCGATTCTATTTCACGTTTATATAATTATTCCGTTTTGCAGGTGTGATATGGCCGGTGGAAGGCATGCCGACCTTCTTGCGATACATTTCGCAAGGTCTGCCGCTAACGATGGCGACGACCGCTCTGCGTTCCATGCTAACTCGCGGCTGGAGCATCACGGAGCCGAACGTCTACAACGGCTACATCTCCACCATTATCTGGATTATCGTGTTTCTCACGATAAGTTTGTTGGTGCTGAGATTTAAGCGCGGATAAGGATAGCTGCAATTTCCGTCCAGACTGTATACGGTGTACAGTGCCTCACGAACATTCCGCGACGTATAGATTAGAAAGTGTTGAATCTGGGAGGGATTGTTCCTCGGAACGGAGCGAATCGTTCGAGAATCGATCGCGAATATGTTTTCGAATGAAATGAGACGTCGTAAGATTCGCGTTTTCATCTAGGGACAAAGCGATCCTTCGAAGACGCTTTTCTTCGTCTATCCGTTTCAGTTGCGTTATAACTAGGATTCTGGAAGCTAACGAAACGTTAATTATAGAATTAGCAAACTGATAGATGCAACTGAATGTCGATGACTGAGAAGAACGTAAAGAAAACTTTCGGATTTTTTATTTTAGCGCGTCGTTCCATAAAGGAGTTTCAAGAAGGATTATTTTGTCGCCTAGGATCCGAGAAGAATATCCTCTCTCCGAAAAGTGCCCTTCGTCCAACTGCCATCGTTTGGTCAACGTCCGATGGCCGTGTAAAACATTTCCTAGATCTTAGTCAGCAGATCGACTTCGAATCCAGATGTGATGTGTCACCGATTACGATCTCGCAGCACTTTCTATCGTGAATGGACCTCCGATACATGTGATGCTCCTGCGTGCGCTTAATATGCTTGTAAAGCTCCCATATTGCGCGTGCAGATGCGTATGTGTGTCTGTGTTATATACGTGTATGTGTGTTGCGTGTTGTGTAATGAGACAGTAAATGTACGAGTAAATGTACGTATGTATGTAATAATGATACGCATGAGACTGCCACGTTTGCCTGATGCGTCTGTTTATAGGGATTCTATTTTTATTCGGTATCTGCAAAAAGATGCCCGAGGATACCGCCAGGGTTCTCCCAATGAATCGATCTTCTCGAGAATCGCGATCGAGGGAAGTAGGATCGACGTTTTCCATTTTTACGTCCACTTTCAGCGACACTTCTGTCGACTCAATTTTAATATAATAAGCATTTATCACGCGTAGTATAACACCCCGAATAACTGAAAAAATATTTCATTAATTTATATAATGGTTTGTTAATATAAATATAAATATGTAAAAATAAGGTGGTTACTTTAAGTAAAAGTTATGCAGAGAATGTTTCATAAAATTAGGCCACAAAAAGAAAAAAAACTCGTAGAGTAAAAAGTCTTAACATGCGATATTTTAAACGAAAGAATTCTGTCCTACGACTTGTATTTAATTTCTTTTTTATGAGAGATTATTTCACATAAAACAAAGGATGGAAATCAAGAAAGTGAGAATGCGTTTAACTGTATTTGCGGCTAGAAACAGTATTCTATTTCCCTTCGTCGCGTAAAATCGCGCGCCCGGGATATCGCGCGGAATTAGAATTATGCGCTCGCAATTAAATTTCGTTGCGTCCATCCTTGGACCGTATATAATCCTTATTGGCGATCTTAGCTGTCTATGATATGTATGTGTGACATCTCTATGAAGCCATTCGTTGGAGATCTGGCATGGTGGAGGGAACCTGGTAAACTTCATCCCGAAATTAAAACGGGATTGCAGCTTTATGTAATAAATTTACGTAAGTTAATAGATAGTAGCTGGTTAATCGTAGCACAATTCTACTTGCCCATGACTTAAGTACGTACGTATTTTATTTAACTCGTAACTCGATTGGAAGCAGAAAAAACAAAAAGCGACAACATCATAAAATGCGCGCTAAAAAAATGTAATACTTTTTATTATATTATTATTTGACATATGTTTTGACATACATATGACGATTTATAACAAGAAATGCGATACGCCGTATCGAAGATCTTTATTGCCTAATTGACATTAATGAACTTAAAATGATCTGACATTCATGCGTAAACTATGATAAGAATTATGTAATAAAAATTACCTGTCGCATATGTCATTACATTCAATACTGTATAAGTAAAAGTTATATATAATATAAACATTCAAAAAAACGACATTACAAAATTGTGTACATGTATACTGCGATGTACACAAAATTCTTGGCAATGATATTGGACATATTTTATGTATAAGTAAAACACAGAATATTGTGGCCGTCCGTAAAGTGCAATCATTACGCGCGGGTTTACTTTTTTTGTTATTAAAATGAAAAATTACATTAAATATTTATCACCAACAAAAAAAGATAAAAAACAAAAATGTGCAATGCAAGAAAAACTTGACACAACTTGTAAAAATGTATATTTTATTTTACTTATATATAAAAAAGGGACATGAAACTCACATATACATATATCCTTTTTTTAAAAAAATTTTATCCCGCTCAACATTATTATAGTGATTCACAGAATCAACTGCTTTTCTTTCATCCTATTATTCCTTTAATAATCTTGTAAATATTATCTAGTGATCATAAACTATTATTTTTATCTCAGATTTAATGCTTCAAAACTATCATCTTGTATTTTTCATCATCAATAAACCAGTCACGATTCTCTTCGATCTTTTTCTTCCAATAATCTAAAAATAAATTAAATTTATACATTATATTTAAATGTACATTATATTTGAATTGAATTATATCAACATGCTGGTACACGTAGAAATATATGTAAATCTGTTAAATTATTGTCTAAATAATTATTGCAATCTTAAATATGAAAATTTTTTTCTTGCAATTTCTTGTTTATATTCTTGTTTAATTTTTTTGTTTTATAATAAGAAGCATTCGTTATTGTTCACTAGTCAAATATTCTTTATTTCAATTTAGAGTAATTACCTGTTAATTCCTCTACTGGATCTCCAGTATTGCCATATTCGTGGCAAAATATTAGCTGGAATATTATTGAAACTACCTTCTGTTGTCCTAAAGGAATGGAACTTTTTCTTCAAGTCTTCATTCATAAATGTTTTCAAAAGTTGCATCTGCTAATTTTGGCGTGTATATAAAATTAACTAATTTAAAAATAGTGGATATTTCTGCCACAAACGGACCATAATTATCATAATACGAGGTCCAAATGTGGTAATATGACTTAATAATATAATTTAAAATCGGACATATCCATGTATACAACGCAACCATATATTGATTCTCTAATATCCTCTCTCATTTCT